TTTTCTTATGTGGCGTGCCATCACAGGCTGCACCTGATTGTTATCTTCTATTGCAAAAAAGGTGTCGCTCGGCTGGCAGTACTGACAGTGAGACACTCGTCGGCCAGCCTGCCTGCCCGCGCACTCATCTGTTTGCCCATACACCCCCGTGGTTGCCTGCTTGCCTGTACAGCAGTACACCCACGCTCCTTTCTCCATGCATCCATCTGTCTGTTAACGAAATAGATTGGTGAATGAAAGAGAGACACTAATTTATCCTACTAGGCCCAACCAGTTACCAAGCAGTCGGCCATTCTGCTGTTCTATTGGGAGGAAAAAAAAAAAAAAAAAAAAAAAAAGAGGAATTTTTTGAAAATAAAACACAGCGCAGAAGCCTTCATCAACCCACTTAGCCGTTGGTATTAGATCACATTGTATTTTCTTTTAATCTTCCGAATTACCTTAATAGCAAGGAACTCTGATATCATCTCCCTCATAACCAGAAGTGACCCCAGAGTCGTACAGAGCATTGCTCTCTCTCCCCTCCCAGGCCAAGATGGCCACGCCAGGCCCAATCACCTTCCAGCGCCGCTTTTCTTCAGTARKGGCAGCCAACACCAGGAATGCAGACAAAAACCCACAGTCGAACGGAGCACTGGTYGACCATGAAACCCTCCGCTTTCTTTTGGAATCGYCTCAAATTMAAGGAGAAAAGGTAATCAAGAAGGTACAAYAAGAGGKTGAAGAAAAAGAAATTACAGTCTGGTGCTATCCAAAGGAGAAAATYGAATCCACCAATGCYATGTATGCGAAACACGGGTTAGTTTTCACTTTCTCCAACACAGGGGCTCGCCTYCCAGAAATTGAGAAACGAAARTGGATTACAAGGACAGTGCAGGGACACGAAAATCTCASGTCCAGCACTGACAAATTCTCCATTCTAGTACTTAGCAAGAATATGATGATGGTGGTTTTCAAAGACGCCGATCAGGCGTCCAATCTGATCGGCAAACACACCACTCTGAACTGCAATGGTTCAGTGTGCTCCCTCTCCAGATGGAAGCAGGAGACAGCACAAAAAGCCATGATCTCCCCGGCTACGGCGCAAAAACAGCGTCTCATGAGGGACCAATTCTGGGTCCAGTTCGATAACATCCCAATCAGAGGGCACCCACTGATCAAAGACAGATTGGAGGTGGAATACCCAAACAACRAAGTACTGAAGTGGGTACTTCCAACTCCGGAATTTCTGGCCCCACACTGTGATTCTATCACAGCCGTTTTGGAAGTGAACACGGAGTCAAACCCCGAATTCCCGGAAGAATGGGAATTCTGCATAGGGGAGGAGGCATCTTCGGTAACGGTCTCGACGAAAGATGCCCCCATCTGTTTCAGGTGCAGAGAGGGAGGACACCTGGGCCTAGACCTAGCGTGCCCGAGATCCCCCGAACACTCCAAAGAGAAGAAACTGAGATAGAACATGCTGGTGGAAGTCGAAGAAGCAAAAGGAATATGGTTTGTCAACGACCAGGATTACAACGGATGGGTCTTCGACGACACCATCGACGACCCGAAATGGATATGGACATACAACACGAACCCGTCTACAAAACAACCAGATATATTCCCCCCTTCAGACAGCAGATGGCACGCAGTGGGAGCAAAGAAAGTAACAGGCATCCCAGGAAAAATCCACAAAGATCAGATCATCGACCCACTAGCGATCAGGGAAGAAAAAAAACACGAAGATCTGCTGTGGGACATGGAGACAATCAGGACCAAGACAGCAGAAACGTGCCAGGACACTAATCTAGACAACAACACCCTGTTGCAGGAAGCAAAACAGACCCTCGAACACCGCCACCCCAAACCAGAGATCCCCCCCGCTCTCAAACGGAATGCCTCTCCCTCCGCCAAGAGCTCCCAAGAGGACAGGGCAGGCAAGAAGAGGAGAGCAACGGAGGAGGGCTCAGGTAAGACTCTCAGTTCTGAGCACCCCCACACTGACGACACCCCCCCCCGTGAAAGACTCGAAAGCAGCGGACAGGGGAACAGGAACGGATACTGCACAAAGCAAAGCAAGCCCCACCCCCTGGCTCGAAGAGTACCTGCAGCGAGCAAAATATGAAAGAGAGAAAGAATTCGATATCAGGTTGGCATGCATGAAACATCTGGAAAAAACAGGGAAGCCAGCCAAGGGGAAAACAGTGGTCGGAATCCCGCAGTCCAAGAATTTTTTTGATCTGCTGCGCATGAACGCCGAACTCTCGGAGTTCAGCGCCTTCAGATATTACGAAAAGAAGAGGGAAAGAGAATCGGCTGGAACAGACACCAACACAGGTTTCGACCCCCAAACTTCGACAGACTCCATCCGAGACATGGTTTCCAAGAACTGGAAACCGTCGAAGGGAAGGGACAAGAGGCCGAAGGGTCCCCCCAAGGACGAAGCAGGCAGCAAGAATGAACAGCGCAGACTCACGCAGGAAATAGCAACAGTGGCAGCACAGACAAAAAGGTTGTTCGACCAGAACCAGGACTACAAAAAGGAACAAGGAGAGAAATTCATAACAGTCCGGATGATCGCTGAAAACAAGGYGCCYGACGTCCCCAAATCAGCAAGAGTTGATAGGGGGACCACGAGGGCGGTAAGACCGCTGATCCCAGTCCGGTTCAGGAACAAATTCAATGAGTGGCAGGTGGCCACAGACGCAGCGTTCACATTTCCCACCCTCGACRATGACAATGCCCTGGCCAGGAACAYCAGGRACAATATTTCAGCGGAGATCCCGCYGGGGGTGTTTGGGATCCCGCCAAGGGAACAGAYAGCCGAAGGGAAGGCGTTGGAAGATTTGATCCTCACCCCTTTCGACCCCATCCTGGTCAAGCTCGACGAGAAAGCCAAACTCTGYGAAGGCCTGACATGGAGGGCTTGGGACACGRTCACAATGYTGCCTTACAACGTGYTGAACGGAAGGTTCAGCACAACCGACATCATTGCAGATTCGCTGGCCGACATCATCAGGACCCGCATTCTGACCTCCAAGACCTCGCTGCAGGACGAGGCGACCCCCATCTACGTGGACATGGGGAAGGAAGAAGCGGACATGGAGGACGATGAGGATGACGGGATGGAAGTGGGCGACAAGATCTCCCCCGGAGGAGACGACGAGGAGCCACGCTCGACAACAGAGAGCAGCGCTGGCGAGTACAGCCTGGGATCCTCAGCGACAAGTGAGGACAACAGAGACGAGGACACCGACGGCAGCAAGACCCAGGCAGCAGCAGACTAAATAACTCACCACCTGGAAGAAATAAAACCCCACCTTAAGCAATATGAAAGAACAACACCGGTAATTAACCAAAAGCTCACCAAGAAGGAAAAAGAAGGGGAAAAAAAAAAAAAAAAAAAAAGCAACAATGCAGATTCCCACAAGTAGCAGATACGGGCAGGTCAGCCCAACCAGAATAAATTGGCATGCTAAAGGGCTCCAGATTATCAGCTGGAACGTCAATGGACTGGGGAACGCTTTGACAGACGAGGACAAACTCAGAGATCTGCGGACGGGCCTAGCGGGGAAGGATACCCATAGACCAGACCTCATCCTCCTCCAAGAAACTCACCTGTCCAATCTGATTAACCATTCGAAGATTCAGCAGATGATGGAAAGAACCGTAGGGGGATGCACATTCGCTCTGTGGTCTAATAAAGCTGGTCAAAGCAATAAAGGAACAACAATACTGGTCCCAAAAAGATCTAAAATCCTGTCCGAGGGTCAAATCCTGAACAGCGAGGGGGATTGCAATGATGGGAGATGGTCTTGGCTAGACATCAAATGGCAAGGAGAGGACCTGCGAATCCTCAACCTGTAT